GCATAGTGCCTAAGGCACTTGACTGCTAACCAGAAGGCTGGCGGTTCAATCCCACGAGCCACTCCTCGGAAGGAAGATGGGGCAGTCTACTTCTGTAGAGATACTGCCTTCGAAACCCAAGGAGGGATCGCTATGAGTTGGGTCCAACTCGAGGGCACATAACAACAACAAGAACAACAACAAGGTGGTACAAATAGTTGGCACTCAACTCCTAACATAAAGGTTGAAGGTTCGAATCCACCTAGTTCCATGGAAGAAAAGGCCTCGCAGTCTGCTTCGGTTAAGATCATAGCCCAGAAAGCCTATGGAGCAGTTCTACTCTGTTATACAGGGTCAGCACGAGTCGGAATCGACTTGCTGCCAGAGAGGGACACCAGCATGGGCCATTTGCATGTTTCTTTGGGTTGTTTTCCTATAGCTTGTGTGCTAAGAGTTGGTTTTACATGTTCTAGCCCTCAGATCCTTTCAGGTTCATGATGTGCACATACTTTCCCCTACCCTGTGGGTTGCCTTTTCACTTAGTTGATGTGCTGTTGAAACACCAACGTGAATTTTGATCGTGTCCAGTTTACCTTGCTTTTCTTTCATTGCTCGTGCTTTCAGTGCTGTGTGTGAGAATCTTTTGCCAAGTCCAAGGTCATGGAGCTTTACCCCTGTGTTTTCTTTCCTTGTTGATCTGCTGCCTAAATGTGGGGGTATTGACGTCTGTAGCTTTGTGTTCCTGTTTCGGTCTTGGCCTCAGCAAATTTCTCTAAATAATTTGAGGATTGTTTTTAAGACAAAGGCAAAAGACTTCTGTAAAGTGTTAAAGAACAAAGAATGCCCTTGAAGACTATAGTGTGCCTGCCCTAAGCTATAGTACTTCCAGTTGCCTCATGTGCAGGTGAAAGCTGGGCAATAAATAAAGAAGACAGAAGAAGAGGTGATGCTTTTGAGTTGTAGTGCTGGTGAGGAATACTGAGAATACCTAGGACCACCAGAAGAACAAACTAGTCTGTTCTGGACGAAGTGCAGCCAGTGTGCTCCTTAAAAGCAAGAACGGCCAGAGTTTGTCTGTTTCACTTTTGTCGTGTTGTCAGGAGGGCCCAGTCCCTGGAGAAGGAATCATGCTTGGTAATGTCGAGGGTCAGTAGAAAAGGGGAGGAGCCTCACCGAGATGGCCTGACACTGGCTACAGCAGTGCACTGAGCACAGCCACAGTTGAGGCTGGCACAGGGCCAGTGTCCTGCTGTGGTTCACAGGTTCACTAGGAGCTGCAGCCTCCTCGGACAAGGGGTGGTTAGAATGGGGTTACTCCTGGCCCGTCACGTACTTGTGAGCGGCTTCTGCCATAATCTGTCCTGTTTCTTTCTTTCCTTTCTTACATTTCCTCCCTCCCTCTCTGGAAGCAGGTCTGTGGACTAATCCTCTCCTTTTTTCTTCTCTTCTTTTTTCCCATCCCCTTTCCCTCGTCTTTTTTTTTCCTGTTATATCTTTAAATATAAAAAGAGGGGGAGGCCTTCAACGAGATGGATTGACACGGTGGCTGCGATGATGGGCTGAAGTATAGCAGGGATTGTGGGACTGGCGTGGGATCGGGCAGTGTTTCGTTCTGCTGTGCATGGAGTTGCTGTGAGTCTGAAACGACTCGATGGCACTTAACAACAATAACATCTTTAATTTCCGAGATTATTATTATTTTTTGTTGTAGCTTAAATATTTTTATTTGTAACCCCTCCTCCTGATTTTTGCATGCAGTGTAATCTTGTGTCATGAGCATATTATAAAATACTTCCCGTTCCCTGAACCCTCTGTCTTTCCTCTAAGGGTCTTTTCTTTCACGCTGGAGCTTTTTCTCTACTGTCTGCTCATCCTGGGATGCCTTACCTCAACGGCCTGGTGTACCATGGGCTGTTAGTATTGCGAAGAGGGGAACTGAGGGGCTCCCTCCGATGTGTCCTTATCTCCAACCCAGTCCTCCAGGCACCAGTCATTCACCAGCATCCCAGTTTCCATGTGGAATCAGATGACTGCCATCTGGCTGTTCACACATGCTGTCCTCGTCTGTGGATTGGTGGCACCAGGAGCCCAAAATGATCAGTCCAGCTTCCAGTTCAGTGGCACCATGGCAGCGGCCCCTGGTGGCAGTGGGTTTGGGACCCAGCACAGCACAGCTGTGAGAATAGGAGGCAAAACCCTTCCAGGGGAATCTTAGGCAGAAGAGTGACAGGGGTGACCCCGTGCACCAACCCATTCTCTTGGACCTGCCTCTTTTGGCTGTGGGCAGCAGCACCCAAAGGCGTGGACCGCATAGATGGCCCAATGTTAGTGCTTTTTTAGGGTTTCACCCCTGCTTGAGGGCTGCTCCCCTACCAGGCACCACAGTGGGGCCTGTTGGGGGCGTGCAGACATCTTTCACCCCCCCTTTTAGGGCTGTGCTTCCAGAGAAGGTACCACAGTGGGGCCTGCTGGAGGCAGGCGGACTTCACAACTGGGACTGCTGGAGGTGGGTGGGCTCCACAGTGGGGCCTGTTGAGGGTGTCCAGCCATCTTTCACTGCTTTTGTAGGGCTGCTTCCCCAGGGAAGGAATCACAGCAGGGCCTGCTGAACGTGGCCGGGCTCCACAGCTGGGCCAGCTGGGGGGCCCTGTCGTCTCTCACCGGGCTACCTCTGTACTCAGTGAGAACAGTGAGGGTTATGAGCCCACGGGCAGACTACATGGCTGGAAAAACTCTAGAAACAAGAGGGCATTGGAGGTCCACAGAGTTGTGCTGATGGAAGCATTGAGGGCAGGGAAGGTGGATCTGTGTCTAGGTACCCACTGATACCCGCTGCTGTCAAGTGGATGCTGACTCATGTTGATCATGTAGGACAGAGGGGAACTGCCCCATAGTGTTTCCAAGGCTGGCATCTTTGTGGAAGCAGACTGCCTCATCTTTCACCCATGGAGTGGCTGCTGGGTTCTAACTGGTGACCTTTTGGTATCAGCTGAGTGCTTCAGTCACTGTTCCACCAGGGCGTCTTCATATCCAGAGTAGTATGCGTGCCTGTTCCCTTTGTGGTGGAAGGGATCAAGTGTAACCTGTGTGCCTTCAGCCAGCTGCCTAGGTTCCCAGGGAATGGCACCATGTTTGGCCTTTGCTCTGACGGGCTGGTGTTCTGCAGTGGTCCGTGGTCAGCTACAGCAGTCTTGGGCAAGGACGGTGCATTGTTGAACTTGTGTTACGTGTTACCATGGCTGCTCTGTCCATGCTGTGCTCTGTCCATGACAGGGATAACCCCAACAATATGCACAAGGTGTCCAGGCAACATCCCACACATCAGTGGCTGAAGTCCCCTCATGGTGGCTGCCCCCTCCAGAAGACTCCCCAGATCTGCATGTCATCAGTCTTCCAGTCAAGTCATTTCCAAAGCACTGGCCAACTGGCCAGATCACTGTCTCTGCCTGTTGTCACTTGGAGTGGACTCCGCTTCATGGCCCTGTCTCCTTCCACGTGGTGGGGAAGGCTCACCCTTTGCTCACTGGAGCACTTCTCTTCCCCACCACCTGGCATTGTTCGAGTGGGGCCAGAGTGCAGCGGACCTCCATCCTGGCTGTGGCTGGCTTTCCGAGGCAGTAGCACTACGGAAGTAGATTGCCCAACCTTCCTTCTGAGGAGTGGCTGGTGGGTTTGAACTGCCAGCTTTCTGGTTAGCAGTCAGGTGCCTTAGGCACTATGCTACCAGAGGATTGACATTACTACATTTTAAAGGACTCATGTTTTCAGTAACTTTTTGTGGTGATCTGGGTGTAGGTTCACAGAGAAGATTGGTTTTCCTTTGTGCAGTTCATACCCGTTTCATGACACTGACCGCAGTCCCCACAGTGTAACAGCACTCTGCCCACT